GTTTTAAATTATGAATAAATTAACGGGGTATTAGCTCGGTCGAGAAACGACGCTGAGTAGCTCGGTTGAGCGCTCAAAGGAGTGCCTGGCCAACCTAAGTCTGCAAAGTAAAAGAGAGAGGTATTAAGCACTGATCGTTGGACCGTGCTAAAAGCATAAAGGCAAGATAAATGAAGTCGTAGCTCGGCTACGCGGGATGCTATCCAGTCTTAGCTCGGTTTGAGTAACGGCGTTAGCTCGGTTGAGCCTTTGGGGCAGTTTTTTTAGTTCGGTTTGAACTAAGGGAGCTGGTTTAGCCCCAAGTTATAGCTTGGTCAGTGGTTAAGGCTATTAGGGGAGCAATTTTGGCTGGTTCTTACTAAAGAAGCTGGTTTAGCCCCAAGTCATAACTCGGTCAGTGGGTGAGGCTTTCTAGTACGATATTGCGCAAATCTAGTGCGGTTCCTTAGCTCGGCTAAATAAAACATAAGGTACTGAAGTCCTATCGAAACTGCAAGGATGTCCTAAAATTTCAATTCGGTGATTTAGTATGGCTGGGGTCTCGCCTAAGTTAAAACAACTACCTAGTTCGGTTGAGGTGTGATTTTGGATCAAAAACATCGTTTTTTTTAGATTGTTTGCGAATACGATAGTTCTATTATGTGGGTTTTTTCCAGAAAAATGGTATATGCTTTGAAACACATACAAATAAGCATGCTGTGTGTTTGCAAAAACAATATGTGAACAACGGAAACAAAACAGGTTTGAGTTACGTACCAGTTCAGAATGAAGAAATCGAAGGAAAGCAATCTCAGCAAGAACACGAGCTCTACAGTTGCAGTAAGAAAGAGAGAGAAGACTTGGAAAAATGGAGGCTCAGAGAGAGAGAGGGAGATGAATAGAGAAATGATTGATTCAAAAACAAAAGGTTTGTTTTGTGTAAAGGGACGGAAAAAAGGCGGGACTATTCAAAAGTCGCGAGGTACGAAGGCGGCGTGACAGCTGCATTGGGCTAATAAGGGTTTGCCATGTGTATAAAGAACGGAAATCGATTCAGTTACAGTGACTGAAGAGACATTTTGACCGGACAGATTAGTAGCACGATGTGAATTTACCTCGGTTGAAAGGCTAAAGTTCTTTAGCCCAGTTGGAAGGCTAAAGTTTTTTAGCTCGGTTGGAAGGCTAAAGTTTTTTTTAGCTCGGCTGGTAACAGGTAATTCCTATTATGCTGCGCTGATGGAATTAAGGGGCAATTGAGAGGGTAATTTATATATAAATTGGGCCGAGCTGGGTAAAGGGCCATTCTGTGGGCCACGGTAAGAAGGGTTGAGTAAAAGGGCCTTGTAATTAGTCCGGTCCAGAAGAGCCTTGCAGATAGTCTAGTCCGAAGGAGCTTGGTGGTTAGCTCGGTCACCACGGTCGGCGCGGTGACAGTTAGCTTGGTCATAGTATATTGGGCCGAAGTATGTTGGTTTCTGCTTAGGACCTTGCTGTTAGATAGCTCGGTCCAAGCTCATTGTGGATAGCACGATTTCAGACAATCCAGTTGGAATATGTCAACTGTGGTACACGCGCAGTGAAAGAAAGAACCGAGCTAGCTGGAGCTCGGTCTAGTCTGTGGCTTTAGCGTGGCCATGTTATCTCGGTCGTATTGACATCGAACCGTGGTAAAACCATCTCACTTGGTTTAAGCAATGAGGGGGGTGTTGAAAGATAAGCATTATCTTTCAGGAAGGTGATTCCTAGGAGGACTCTACATGGAGGAGTAAGAGTCCTATTTGGATTGTGCCACACGGAACCTATAAAAGCTCATAACATCACCTATGGAGAGGTAACACAACTTTGATTCCCGAATACACAGAACTTTTTTGTCTATTTGTCTATTTTGCTGACTTAGGCATCAGAGAGGTATCCGGTACACACCTGCTGGCTAGCTCACGTTTGTGTTTTTAGGGAGTAAAGCGACGTCGTACGGAGGAGTGCAGACTTGATCAACAGGATTATACGAGAAGGTTTATTTCTTTCCCGTACAGTAGCGATCTCGACTCAGATCATACACTCCTCTAACATCAAGCACAACATCAAGCGTTTCCAACGCCTGGAAAAAACAAAAACAAAAGAGAGAGAGAGAGAGAGAGAGAGAGAGAGAGAGAGAGAGAGAGAAGAAAATTATGAATGGTAAAACAATCTAACTTGATATAAAAACACAACAATTGAATGATAGTGACCTTAGGGTCTCTGGTTCGAACGATTTCGGCTGCAGAGAACTTGGTGGTGAGGCGAATCATGAAGCAGCCCAAGGCTTCGTCGCAGTGGAAGCTTCCGTCGTGAGTGCCGACTAGTCGCAGTGGAAGCTTGCTCGCCATGGCAGAGATATATGTTAAAGAGAACGGATCTGAAGCTTTGGAGAAACTTACTGACAGAAAAGTATGGCACTGCCATGAGAGAGAGATGTGAGGTTTTTTAAAATTGAGAACCTTCTCAATTTATAATATTCTCAATTTTAATCATAATTTTAATTAGAAAAAAATTAAAAAATTTCTCAAAATTGATAATTATAAATTTCTTAATTTTGATAATATTCTTAGTTCATACTAGAAAAAAATTGAGAAATTTCTTAGTTTTGATAATTATAAATTGAGAACATTATCAGTTTTGGGATTAAAGGACAAAACGTCTTTTTACTTGTAAATGGGACTTACTAGTTCAAAAACTTTTTAACAGAACCTAAGCTACCACCAAATATATAGATAAGACTTTTAGGTAATTAATCCTAAAATTATTATTAAATCAATTTAGTTTTTTCATATATAGCCCATTTGATTCATCAAAGTAAGTTGATATCCCAACAATGTAAAACTGAACAGTAAATCTAAAATAATTTTATTCGACCAAATAAACATGGATCTTACTAACTTGTTAAGGAGTAATTAATTATATTTAATGAGTCTTGAAATTTATTAAATTATGATTTTTATATAAAAAAATTAAATTATTAATTGTAAAATAATTATGCACAAATTTAAAAGTCATAGTTTACTATGGGTGTTTGTGGTTCGGTTGCGGTCGGAGAACATTCAATCCATCATTCGTCAGTCGGATTGGCGGATTGAAAAAAATCAATCAACATTCGTCCGCCGGATTGAGGGATGCGGATTGAGTGAATTGGTAGATTGACGGATGGATGTAAATCGATTTAGGGGTTTAAACTTTTATAAATTTTAAATATAATACAACTTGTCAACATTTTTTTTGAATAACAATCCAACTAAACATAACCAAAAAATTATGAAGTAAATTGTCAAATACTAATAATAAATACATATAAGAAAACTATACATTATCAAAACTATTTCATTACTTTTTTTTATTCAAAAACTATTTAATTTGATTTTTTTTTAAATGACAAAATTAAGCCATATATTTTCTACACAAAAATACCAAATATCAGCACTTGTCATTTGATAAAAGGATTTTTAAATTTAAAATACACCAGAATATCTAAACTCTTTTTCAATTGAAAGCACAAACAGAATATCTAAACAAATTACAAACAAAAAATTTTACAAATTATTAAGGGCGCTTGCGATTTGATGGTTCGGTTGCGGTTAAAGAAACTTCAAATCTGTTAGGCGGATTGGAAAACATCAATTTGCAACCATCTGTTAGTCATCGTGCATCTGTCCAAAATGCAGTGGATCAGTTTAGTTCGATATGTTTAAGCAGATCGAAATATCACTGATCACTCATAATTAAAACATGCAATAATAAATACATTTACTCATAAAAATTAAGATAAATTAATAAATCATTAAATGTATTTTAACTGCTGCGAAGAATTAGTTGTTAGCATTAGCCAATAAACAAAGACAAGACAAGAACCCTAAATCCCAAACAAACACCAACGCACGTTACCAAAATCGAATATTTATTACAGGAAAATGTGCCCCCCTTTCTTAATTAATCAATTAAATTAATCCCACGACAATTACACCCCACCCAACCCACGCGTGCGGGCGCGTATATACCTATATGAATTATTTATACAGAAAATCCTAAAATTATTAAAAACTATTATTTTGACTCTTTAAAATATAAAAGTATATAAATAAGTTCTTAAATTATTAAAAAATATCATTTATCTCCTTAAATTATAAAAAAAAAAAAAACGTATAAACAAACCTTATAAATTAGGGGTGAGCATTGTCTGTTAGTCCGCCCAATCCATCCCTATTTTTTTAAAGTTTGAAAAGGTTATTTGAGCTCATAGGGACGGACTAGACTAATATTTTCAGCCATATATATTAATGGGCTGAGTTTGAGATTTATACTATCAATCCGGTTTGGTCTAGTCCGCTGTTAAATAAATAAATAAATTAATTAATTATAATATATTAAAATATATCTCTTTTTTAGATCTAAATTTTATCTTTATAAATTTTATTGAAACTCACATTTGTAATGATGTGATTAAATTTATTTTAAAATTTTTTTAATCTATACGAAATACCTTTCAATTTATAATGATAAATGTCCGACGAAAGTCTGCCTTTACTCTAATACTTGGTTTGACAAGGGCTCATTGGGCTTTTTTTTGCTCAATGAGCCATAAAAGACAGAATAGGCTCATGAGCCACAACAGACAAAACATCTCATCCAACCCCATAATCATTACACTCTTCTCTCACAAAAAAATCAAAAAAGTCAAAAAGCCAAAAGCCCTTCCCAAACCAAATTTTTGAGCCCAGGCTCATATAGTCAAAAAAGTCAAAAAGTCAAAAAGTCAACCCACTTCCCAAACGGAGGCTAAATTACTTATTTGTTTTACTTTAATCACTTTTGATCTGATTTGTATAATTTTATAATTAAAAAATATTTATGTACTTTTATAATTTAAAAGATAATGTGATTGCTTTTCAATAATTTAAAGATGTATTTATACGTTTTTATAATTTGAAAGTTGAAAATGAAAAGGATCTTAGTGTAAATAACTACATTACATACATATATAATAAACTGACGTTTCTAGTTGCCCCTTGCTTTTTCTGGAAACGCACACACATGCATACATATACACGCATATATCGGTTGTTGTTGCTCTGTTTCTAGGGTTTTGACGCTCACATCTTTGCCCATCTTCATCTTCATCTTCATCTTCTTGTCGAAAAAAGTGGTGATGGATAGGTACCAGAGAGTGGAGAAGCCGAGGCCAGAGGAACCCATAAACGAAAACGAGATCAGAATCACTGCCCAAGGTCTCATTCGCAACTACATTAGCTATGCCACCACTCTTCTTCAGGTATCCATTTCTTTTTATGCTCTGTTTCCTTTCTCAGAAAACCTAGCGCAACGACGAAAAATTACAATTTTGACTCTGTTTGGTTTACTAATTCAGCTTATGTGAGTCTTCGTAGTTGGTTTTCTGGAAATTATGAACTTTTCAAGTTTGTATTTCTTTACTTTTTCCAATCGTTTTCTCCGCTGCCAAACAGAAATTTGGGTGCAATATTTGTTTGAAATTTACATCCTTCTACCAACAAATCTTAAATTTGGGTGGTTTATTGACTATCTGAAATTTTTCCTGTTGTATTTATTTTTATAAGTAAATTAAAAATCAATCTCAATAACATTATGTTAAAAAAAAAATTCAAATTTTAACATTGCAAACCATCACCAAGCATAACAATACAACAATACAACAATCCAAGACTTAAAAACATAAAACAAATACATGAAAACAGAAATTCAATAATACACAACATTGAACGACATCATGAACCAAGTTTAATTACAAAAAATATTTATGTGTGTGTGTGTGTGATATTGATTTTAATATACCCGGGTTGAATGAGAATCAAGGGAGTCAATATTTCCGGTCCCCACGAACCCAAACCTTCATTGGGCCTAGGCTGGCCCCCTTGGTTTAACCAAAATGACCATCCCTAATACCCTTGGTTTTAAAAGTTTGCTTTTGATGATTTTTACACAAGCATGTACTCCTAGGAATCCATTGTAATGTGGGGTTAGCCTTGCATGCATTGCATATCAGGTTGAAATTGTTTTATTGTTGAGTGTTTAAATCTGGCTGCTTCATAGGGAAGTCGGGATCTATATTATTTGTTGGTTGGTTTGGCAATCACCAAATATAGCTAAAAAGGCAAAGAGTCCGTATCAAAAAGTTAACTCTTCTCTACTTTTCTGCACGTATTTTCATAAAAATCCAAAAAATCAACTAAATGTACTGATCCTTTGTGTTATGTTCAGGAAAAACAGGCTAGAGAGATTATCTTGAAGGCAATGGGACAGGCGATCAGTAAGACAGTGGTGATTGCGGAAATTATAAAGGTGGGTTTGTGTTGTGTTTACACAAATTTTCTTTGCATCGATTATGTTCTATTTCTGTATATTTAGAAGGGAAGCCACAATAACATATATTGACATGCATTAAAAACAGAAGAGAATCCCAGGGTTGTATCAAGAAACTTCTATTAGCTCAACAAGCTTAACTGATGTATGGGAACCCATTGAAGAGGGACTTGAAATGTAAGATACCTGTAATTTTTTCTAATCTTGACGCATTGCCTACTTCAGTGACATATACTTGATTTTACTTGTTATAATTTCCTATGCAGGTTGGAGATTAATCGCCTGGTCTCACTGATAACAATTACATTATCAACTAGTGAGCTGGACAACAATTCTCCAGGGTCAGATTAGATGCTCTATAATTTATTTGAAATCAAAATTTTCCTGGTTCTATGCCATGGAAGTTTATTTAGTTTGCTATCCTTAGAGATCTAAGTTTGGAAATTCTGTCTGAATAGATACCAAGCTCCATCTAATGTAGAACAGCCAAAAGCAGAGCATCAGTATCAGCAATGGCAACAACCACCACCAAGACAAGCACGTCGTCCAATCACTGTTGCTAATGAAGGTGTGTGTCAGATCCTCAGAGAAATTGTTTGCCAACTTAAAAAAGCCAATGAGGCTGCCGATCCAGATGACTTTTCTGGCCAGGGGGATTATTTCTTTATTTTGGGGTCCCCTTTGTTTCAGCTTTCTTGTTTTGGTAAAGGGAGTTTTTTAAGCTTACAGCTATTTGACCTTTTTAATTTTTTTTTTTTATTATTACCCTTGATATCTAGATTCATGTGGCATTGGAAGAGGTCGTGGTAGAGGCAGAGGAAGAGGTCGAGGCAGGGGCAGGGGCAGGTATGGGAACTTGTTTCAGCTTTCTTGTTTTGGTAAAGGGAGTTTTTTAAGCTTACAGCTATTTGACCTTTTTAATTTTTTTTTTTTTTTATTACCCTTGATATCTAGATTCATATGGCATTGGAAGAGGTCGTGGTAGAGGCAGAGGAAGAGGTCGAGGCAGGGGCAGGTATGGGAACCCAGGTATTGATGCTGCAGTTGCTGTTCTTCCTTGTAGTTTCTTTTGTTTCTGTTATTTAAATAGCATTCAAATGTTTTACTTCAGTCATGATGGTATCGGAAAGCTTCTAGAATCTACAGTCCTAACTAACTAATATATTCGACTGACAGAAAATGTTGGGTACAATAACTATAACTGGGGTCGAGGAGGTGGACGGGGCAGGGCCTGGGGTTATCGTGGTAAGTATGGTTTACTTATTTGATGACTGCTTTCTAGATTATAAGAGTTCTTCTTACATTGCAAAATTTTGATGGTCTGTGAATTCTTCTCCTTTTTCCCAATTTTGCCAAATTTTTAATAGAGAGATGTGAACATGTGTGTGCATATTCAATCCCCCTTATCCAACTAGTTTAAGTTCTATACATGTGTAGCACTAACCTGTAATAACCAATAATGTAAATCGTGATGGATATTCTATATGATGCTTTAGGGCATATACTTATTTTTGAGCATTGGTTTGTGAACAGGTGCAGGATATGAAAGGGGTAGAGATAGAGGCAGAGGTTATGGTTATGGTCATGGACGGGGAAGGTTGGGCAGCAGTGGAAGGGGTGGTGGTGATGGAAACCAGACTTAGTTTGAGTTGGTGTCTCTGTTTACTCTCAAAGCTTAATATGGTTGGTTAAGAAGCTTATTAGGGATAAGATTTACTACTGTTTTTGAGCATCAAACTAGTTGGTTATCCTCCCTGAGCAGTTTTGTTGTCTTTTTTCCTCTCTATGTGGATGAGGTAAAGCCCTTTTTATTTGGTTGGGTTGCTTTGTTTTGGTTGAGAACCGTTTGTTGGTTCTTATTTTTTGCTGTAAATCTTTTCACCACCCTTCTGTAGTTGTATTCCATTTTTCATGTATATAACAATTTTAAGCGCTCTCTCTCTCTCTCTCAATTGTCTCTTAGCTTGGAATTCAACTTGGTTGTAATAATGTTTATGTCAATATGAATATGAAACCCAAAAGTATTGAATGACAAGACGTATGAAGTCTTCAAAAGTCAAAAAAGGAATTGCTTCTTAAAGTCTTCAATGGCTCTATTAATTAGTTGGGTAAATTAGACTGAGACCTTATGACGGCTATATTTATTACAGTTTATCTCATCACATTTAAAAAATTATATTGATCTTTTTCTTAATTTAATTTTATGTATGATGGTTATTACTAATTTTATGTATGATGATTATTACAGTGAGGGAAAAAATTGTTATGAAACTTTAAACTTCATGGGGTAATCTGTAATAAAATTTTAAACCTCAAGGAAGGAGATGTAATTTTTAAAAGGTGAAGGGAAACTGTAATAAACATAAATCTCAAGAAATTTCAATGTAATTTACCCTAATTAGTTTAAATCATAGTTGTCAAATCAAAATTCGTATCGTGGATCGAAATTGTCTCGTATCGAATCGTGAATCGTAAAGATTCGGTCACTTTTTATAAATTACTTAAGAACATATATCTATATATTTAGATGTTGAATATATCTTATGAATATGAGATATTTAGACTTTAATCAATGAAAATATTATTTTCAATGATAATCACGTTTAATAAGTAAGAAATTAATAAAAATTCCTATGTGAGATTATCGTCTTATTTTTTTCTTTTTTAGATATTTTTTATCAACCATTCTTAATAAATATAATAACTGAGAGGGAAATTTATGAGCTGGATTGGGCCGTGATAATGACCGGGCAGATTATGGGCCGAACATGTTGTGGGTCGTGGTAGCATGGGCTTAGCCGGAGAGGGTTGTGCTTGGTAATGGCCCAGGACCATGCTAGGACCAAGCTATTTGGCTTGTTTATGTGGGAACCAAGCTAATTGGGTAATATGGCCGAGATAATGGAAGCCGGTCCTGTGGTAACGCGATTTGGCGTCCCCAAAATTCTGATATCGGATAACGGCACCCAATTTGACGACCGCCTATTCAGAGGATTTTGTGAAGACTTGAAGATTGAATTCTACAATTCTACCTCGGCTTACCCGCAGTCTAATGGTCAAGCAGAAGCATCAAACAAGACCATTCTTGATGTGTTGAAGAAAAGGCTTGAGAAAGCCAAAGGCAAACGGGCCGAGGAACTCCAAAGTGTCCTTTGGGCATACCGAACGACCCCGCGCCGATCAACCGGGGAAACTCCTTTTGCCTTGGCATATGGCATGAAGGCGGTCATCCCTTTGGAAGTTGGCATGCCCACCCTCAGAAGCGAAAGTTTTGAGCCCGAGCTGAACGCCGAAGCCATTGCCCTAGAATTGGACCTAGTGGAAGAACGTCGGAAAAAGGCTCTCATCCATGTGGCCACCTACCAACAAGAGCTTTCAAGAAAATACAACAAAACGGTGCACCCCAGGCCGTTTAAAGTAGGTGACTGAGTCTTGAGGAAGGTCATGGGCAATACCCTGGTGCTAGGTGAAGGCAAATTAGGGGCAAACTGGGAAGGACCCTACAAGATCACCGGTCTGGCGGGCAAGGGGGCATACCACTTGGAGGACCTGGAGGGAAGAGAAATACCCCGGCCATGGAATACTGCCAACCTCAAACTGTACTATTTTTAGCTTTTGTTTTCTTTTTGTGCAAAGGAATTTTTTGCCTTACACTTCAGGATGTAATATTCTTTTTGTCAATATATAGAAGTGTCTCATCTTTGCCTTAGCATTCTGATTGTTGCTTTTTAATTTTGAGATTCTCAACCGAGATGTTTTACTCCGATTGAAAGAGTTGGTGTTTTGCTCAACTTTGAGATTCAAACCGAGATGTTTTACTCCAGTTGAACGAGTTGATGTTTTGCTCAACTTTGAAATTAAAACCGAGATGTTTTACTCAAGTTGAATGAGTTGATGATTTGCTCAACTTTAAGATTCTCAGCCGAGATGTTTACACCGGTTGAATGAGTTGATGATTTACTCAACTTTGAGATTCTCAGTCGAGATGTTTACACCGGTTGAATGAGTTGATATTTTGCTCAACTTTGAGATTCTCAGCCAAGATGTTTACACTGGTTGAATGAGTTGATGTTTTGCTCAACTTCGAGATTCTCAACCGAGATGTTTTACTTCGGCTGAATGAGTTGATGTCTTGCTCACATTTGAGATTCTCAACCGAGATGTTTACTCTGGTTGAATGAGTTGATGTTTTGCTCAACTTTGAGATTCTCAACCGAGATGTTTACTCCGGTTGAATGAGTTTATGTTTTGCTCAACTTTGAGATTTCAACTGAGATGTTTTACTCCGGTTAACTAGGTTGATTATTTATTCAACTTTCGTGGAGCTTTATTCCGGCTGACTGAGTTGATGATTTGCTCAACTTTTATATTTAAACCGAGATGTATTGTTCCGGTTAAAATAGTTGATGATTTATTCAACTTTATGCTTGAAACCGAGATGTCTTTTCCGGTTAAATAAGTTAAACAAGATGATTAGTTTTGCCGAGGTATTTTGTTCGGCTAAATTTATTTAGCTTGAAGACCGTGCAACCACTTAATGGAAATTGAACTTTTTCATTGATGTGCAAAATAACTACAAGAGGGGGGACAAATAGCCCGGTTACATGTTCAGACAAAAGAAAAAAGACAAAAGAAAACTAAGCTAGGGGGGAAAGGTCAGTGAATTCATCCCCCTTGCCTTCAGGTTGACCGTTGGTGTTTTGTCTTGGACACCGGTCTCCGTTTGGCCAGGCTGCTCTTGGCAGTTCTTTTCCTCAGCATTTTTCTCGGTCTCTTCTGCGCCTTCTTCCTTGGCTTCAGCCTGCAACGCGCTGAAGACGTCGTTGGCATATGGCACGAGATACGTTGGTAGGAAGACAACTGGCGGAGAGGCAAACATGTCGGTCCCAGGTCCTTGGCCGAGCTGTTCACAAGCAGTTTTCCAGCCTGCCTTAAAGTAGATGTCTTGGGTGGCATGGACCTGCTTTGTATAGCTCACCTCGGCCTCCTTGAAGCCGGCATTATTAGCGTCCTCCAGCTCCTTCTCCCTTGATTGTTTTAGCGCATAAAGCTCGGCGCGTAGCGCGTCTCTCTCTTTCTCGACAGAGCCAAGCTGGCCGAACAACCGGTTGTTGTCAGTGTTGGCTATTTGCAGTGAAGATTGGGCTCTCCCAAGCTCGACTTGAAGGCTTTGAACTTGGTTGGCAGAGTTAGTTGCCTTCTGCCGAAGTCGGTGAATGCGCTCCATGACCAAGTGCTACTTCTGGATGGCCTACAAGAAGAGAGTTTGATTAGAAAGGAAACCGAAGTAACACTTGCGAAATTTTGAGTAAAAGTTTGAGATACTTACCCTGGTCATGGACTTGACCGAGGATTTCACCAACCGGGTGTCTGGCACATGATCGCTACCGATCACGCCACTCGGTAGAATGAGAGCTTTTGTGAGGTCAAAGGCGAACAGATGCTCCTTGTCGCATTTGACAAAAGCTGTTGCCGGGATCTCCTTGCCCCAGTGTTTGAGCTGCGGCTTCCATGCAGGTGTTGAATCAACGGTGACGGCAGGTTGCTCGGTATTGAGCTCAGCTACTAGCTCGGCAGAAGGGTCTGCACGAGGCTTTTTGCCAACCCGGCGGGTGTCTTGGCTTGATTGGCCAGCGGCGGGAGACGCCAATGCAACCACAGTTCCGCTGGCTTGCCCGGCAACAGGAGAGCGGGTTGTGATGCTCGGTATCTCGGTGGAAATGGCGGTGATCAGGTTTTTGATGCGGCTTCTCTTGGCCATCTCTTCTGCTTCGGTTAGACGGATGAATGGAATGTCAGGAAGTTTAGGATCTGGAGGCGGAGATGGAGCGCGGAGAAAGTCTGTGACCTTACTTTGGCGTGGAGCTGAATATCGATATGTAGGTGTGTAACTGAGGAGGTCGTGGCAGTCCCGGTTGCGATAACAGAGCACGGTCCTGATGGCTGCTTCGTTGGGGTAGTGATAGTTAGCTAGCAAGGCTTCGATCGCTGCAAAGAAAAGAAGAAAAATGTAAGTACAGAATAGTGAAGAAAGGCAATCGACCGAGCAAGTTAGCACGGCTTACATGTGGAACCGAAGTTCTTGCTAATGAACTAGCCTGGTACGTTGGCTGTTTCATAGTTGCTGGACACCCAGAAGAAGTCGTCGTCGTGCAAGTCCTTGTCTAGGGTGCCGGTCACTATCTTTTCTTTGCCCGGTCTAATCTTTAAGTAATAGGCGAGGCCACCGCTTATGTGCCTAAGGGTATATTGGCGGAGTATCTCGGCTAAACCTAAGTTGGTTCCAAGCCGGTTGTTCAGCTCGTGGATCCCGTTGATTATTCGGTATGTGTTTGTTGAGACTTGTGTGGGTGCTAACCCGGTGCAATGTAAGAATTCGGTTATCAATGGGTTGACCGGGAAGCGGAGGCCTCCTTCAATGATGGATATCACGGTGAAGGGGCATTGGTCTAATCTGCCCCAAGGATGGTTGATGTCTAAGGCGCCGAGTTCTAATTGAACGTCAGCCGGGATACCATACTCTTCCCGGAATACGGCCAAGGTGGTCGGAGTGTCAACAAGGAAGTGGTAGCGCCCCATGTGTCGCCGGCTGGTTTAGCTCGGCTAAGGTGGTTTGGCACAGACTGGTGTTTGATGGCTACTCGGTCTTTGAGAGCCTCGGTATTTGGTCTGTGGTCCCCTTGGACTCTGCAGGAAAAGGATAGCAAGTGTAAGTGGAAACGCGGTCGCGCAAAACGAGCTTGACTTTAGCTCGGTCATGAAGAGTGCCAGACCACCTCGGACGCAAAGGTAAACCAAGGAGCTCGGTCGCTCAAACGGACCAGTTGTTAGCCCGGTCGAGCGGCCTAGTCCTCTGTCTACCTCGGTTTCTACTAAGGTTTTGGCAAACTTGTAAGTTGTTCGGTCTCAATGTTTTTTGGAATCAAAAGAAGACCT